GGACCTCGAGTTCCCCGGGTTCATGGACCTCCTCAAAGGTGTGTTCGACAGCGCTCCTGGGCCCGATGGGCTCACCCACTCGCGCTGGGCTCGCGGCGGCCTTGAAATTCAGTCCTTCCTGTTCCAGGTGTACTCCTCAGCTCTCCAAGGGCAGCCTCGTAGGGGCGGCTTCAACCACGGCGCGGCTCTCTACCTTGCCAAGTGCGAGCAGCCGAACGACACGCTCGGCGCAGGTATCTTACGGACTCCTGAATGTACGAGGTGCATCACCTTTAGCAACGCGTGCAACACAACTGTTTCCGCTGCTATCAATATCCCCACGGGCGCAGTGCGCCGGCAGACCTGCCTAGATGTACAGAAGGGGTTCATTAGAGGCCGCAATATGACTAACAATATTCTCGACATCGAGGCCAGAGCGATGTCCTGGTTCTGTCGGCGTGCCTGTCAGGAAGCAGGCTCCGCCGCCTTTGGCGTGAAGACGGCCTTCCCCAGCCTCCTTCACTGCATGATCTCGTGGGTCCTCCTCGTCGTGAGTGTGCCCACTCATATTCGGCTAGCTGTAGCTTCGCTTTACCACAGCGTCAAGATTGAGGTGTTCTTTGCGGGGCTCAGAGGGTACCAGCATCTCAGGAAAAAAGGGGGATCAAGCAGGGGCGCCCGCTTTCGTTGGGGCTATCCGTGCTTTCGCCGACGATGTCGGCCTTGTTGCTCGCGATGTATATCGTGCTCTGGCTTCTTTTTTTGTTGATCTCTTTCTCTCTCTCTCTCTCTCTCTCTCTCTCTCTCTCTCTCTCTCTCTTTCTCGAAGTATGGGTGATCGCCGCTGGTGTCGCTGGCCTCGTCTTGCATGTGAAAAAGACGGTCGTCGTGACATATTCCAGGCCCTCCAGGACCGAATTCGAGCAGAAACTGCGAGCGTTCGGGATCAGGGGCTCCAATTTCTCCCTCGCATCGGCCGCCGAGCACCTCGGAGTTCATCTCGGATGGGATGCAAGGGCTTTGAGTTGGGAGGGGCCGACCAGGAAAATGGAGGGGAGGGGGAGGATCGCCAAGAGTTTGTATCTCGGGCTCACCAAGAGCAATGCCAGATATAACACGCACAGGCTTAGCTGTCTCACATTCATCGGCCAGTTTCACTTCCCCTCCAAGTTCGCCGTCTCAAGGCATCGAGCAGCTGGCACGTGCATCGCGAATGCCCCCAGGCATGCCCTCCCCACCGCTCTCTTTTACCAGCTCAAAGAGATCGGCGGAGCATGCCGGATCCGCGGCCCCCTTTGCATGTGCAAGGCCGCCATGTTCCGGATGGCGTTTTACTCTTCTGTTTTCTTCGAGCTCAGGCGGGAAATCTTCGAATTCGACGGGAACGACGATTGCGCCATCGTTTGGAGGAGGCACCCGATCGTCCAGTCATCGTCCATCATGAGCCTGATTAAACACTGCGACGAGATTTGTGCCCTCCCCCGTTCACCGACGCATGACCCACCGCTCCAGAGAAAAAGTCACCAGCATCTTCTTGCCCTGAAAGAGCCGGAGTTATAGGACCACCTTAGGCAGGCGTAGCAGGTATTTCGCTTGTCTCCCCCCGACTGCTGTCCAGGTTGACGCTTGCGTTTTGTGCCTTCGGAGATTGGGTCAGAATGCCCCTTCCTGGATGTTTATGGCTGCTCTTAGAGCCCTGTGCAATAGGTGGTGCACGACACGTAGGTTCCGTGAGCCCACCCGAAGGTGTAAATGGTGTAAGTTTGCAGTCGGGGGTGATGGCATTCTGCAGTGTTATACTTGTCTCATTCTTGATATGTTGTTTCCTGCTCTGCCCCTTCTTCCCCCGTCCTTTTCTCTCTGCCCCTGCCTCGTCCCGCCTCCTTGGTTTCCCTCTCGGGCCCTTGCCCGTCCCCGCTCTTCTCTCTGCTGGCCTCGTCCATGAGATAGCTTCTAGCTTGCATTGTGCCTCTCGAGAGCGAGAGCGGACGACCGCTCAGCTCCGCCAGCTCATTCGGGCCCGCTTGCGTTGGGCCACCCGAAAGGGGGGCCCGACGCTGGCCGCGCTCACTAGTTCAGGCCAGGTCTAGCCCGAAGGCAGACGCCCCTGGGGTTTAGGAGTAGGGTCGGGTCGGCCAATTCCCTAGCCTCCCCGAGGCCCGCTCCCTCCTCCCCCTCCTCCCTCTCCTCCTCCTCCTTCTCCTCCTCCTCCTCCTCCTTCTCCTCCTGCCCCTCCTCCCACGATTGTCGTTTTCGCCGTCGTCCTCCTCATGCGGAGGAGTGAAGAGGATAACCAGGAAGATGCTTGTAAACGTCCGGGGGGCGCGTGTCCATGCGCATCCTTTGTGAGCTTTCGGAGAGTTCGTCTATATTACATACATTTGATCACGATGATGCTGCAAGTTCTTGCGCAAATCTTCCCTTTCACGCGCTTCCCGCTCATGTCTGGAAAGGTTGTGAATTCCATCTGGTATCTTTTGTGGACGTTCGGAGTGAGCGGCACGTCGGAATGTGCGCGGATCGTGAACTCAATATGGTTCTGTTTGCGGACGTTCGGGGTCACTGGCACGTCTGAATTGGCGCGGATAACGAAGTCCACTTGGTACCCCCTGTGGACGTTCTGGAAGAGCGCCTACGCGACATGCGAACTTGATGTTGGTGCACGTTCTTGTCAAGCTCTTTGATTTCACGCGCTTTCCGTTCATGTCAAGAAAAGGTTCCCCGACACAGCGATTTCGCTCGAGACATCCTCCGAAAATGGAGATGGTGGAGGCGATCATTTAAGACGCGTTCTGTAGAACATTGCGCTGTCGCTCGAGACATCCTCAGAAAATCGGGACCCTGAAACATGTCAAGGATTTTGTTGTACATGAAAAATGAACGTTTCGCCCGAGACATCCTCGAACACAGTATATGTTGGACAAGCTGTTTTACTACCTCTCATATAAAGAATTGCGGCTTCGCCCGGGGCATCTTCAGACAATCGGGAGGGGCGCGGCGGACCGAAAAAAGGAGCACGGCAGAAAATGGCCGTTTCGCTTGAGACATCCTGAAACATCGGGTTTGGAGGGGGCCCCGAACCAGCATTATCTTGGAATCGTGCACGGAGGGCTTCACAACGGCCCAAGAGAGCTTCCGAAGGCCCCCAGTGGACCCCCAACGCGGCCCAAGAGACCCGCAAGAGGCCCCCAAGAGGCGCCCAGAGGGCCCCCAGAGCGCCCGAAGAGGCCCCGAGACTGGCCAACAGAGCCCCAAGACAGTCACAGAGAACGTTCAGACAGGCCACGAGAGACTCCACAGAACCTCGAGACACGCAGACACGCCCGGACAGCCCCTCAAAAAATTGAGGTGTCTAACGTCGCACTGTAATGATTTTGGAGGGCATCAAGACGGCCCCAAAGGGCCCCAAACGAGCCCCAATATGACCCCCAGGATCGCCCTCGAGACGACCCCCAAATGTGATTTCGCTTGAGACATCCTCACAACATTGAGATGTTCGCGAATTCGATGTTCTCAAACATACGCGTTAGCTCTTAGGGTGTATTCTGCTGTGTTCCTGGTCTTTTTCTGCCTTGCTCCTTCGCTCGTGGGGCCTCTTCTGCCGTGCTCCTTAGCTCCTCGGGCCTATTCTGCCGTGCTCACGGTTTTTGTTCTGCCGTGCTCCTTCGCTCGTCGGGCCTATTCTGCCGTGCTCCTGGTCTTTTTCTGCCGTGCTCTTTAGCTCCTCGGGCCTATTCTGCCGTGTTCCTTCACTCTTCGGGTCTATTCTGCCGTGCTCCTGGTCTTCTTCTGTCGTATTCCTTGGCTCTTCTGGCCTATTCTGCCGTGTTTCGGTATTGTTCTGCCGTGCTCCTTAGCTCTTGTGGTCTATTATGCCGTGCTCATGGTATTTTTCTGGCGTCTTGTTCGCTCTTGGGGCCTATTCTGCCGTGCTCCTTAGCTATTGGGGTCTATCATGCCGTGTTCCTGGTTTTCGTCTGCCGTGCTCGGCAGCTCTTGGGGCCTATTCTGCCGTGCTCCTGTGTGTGGTGTTTCTGCCGTGCTCCTTAGCTCTTCGGGCCTATTCTGCCGTGCTCCTGTTATTTTTTCTGCCGTGCTCCTTCACTCTTGGAGTCTAGTCTGCCGTGCTCTTGGTCTTGTTCTGCCGTGTTCCTTCGCTCTTTGGGGTCTATTCTGCCGTGCTCCTTAGCTCTTGGGGTATATGTTGCCCCTCTCGTGTCTATTTTGCCGTGCTCCTGTTCTTTTGTTTCTGCCGTGCTCTTTAGCTCTTCGGGTTTGTTCTGCCGTGCTCCTGGTCTTTTTCTGCCGTGCTCCTTCTCTCTTGAGGCCTATTCGGCCGTGCTCCTAGCTCTTGGGGTCTATCATGCCGTGTTCCTGGTCTTTTTCTGCTTTGCTCCTTCGCTCTTGGGGCCTCTTCTGCCGTGTGCCTGCCCTTTTTCCGCTGTGCGCGCCCAGAAGCTCCGCCAAAATGACCACCGCGACGATCCGCACGGCAGAATACAGGAGCACGGCAGAACACACAAAGCACACGGAGGCACGGCAGAACACAGAAGCACGGCAGAACAGGAGCACGGCAGAACACACAGGAGCACAGCAAAACACACCCCGCTTGCACGCCGACGCGCGCGCCACGGCATACCTGCGCGGCGTAACAACAACAGACATATTCCACATGCTTGGTGGACTAAAGCGACGCTTCCCGTTCTTGTCGGTCAGGTTGTTCATTCAGTGGAGCTGTCCACGCTTTTGTTTGCGAGGAGGAGCTCGGGGAAGACATTTTGAGCCGAAAGCGCATTCGCGTGCAGGGGACGGATGGTCACAGGTAGGCAGCGGAAGCGGTAGCCCGTGTTTTTTTGCACGAGGCGTGTCATTTGCCGCAGTTCATAGTCGACGTATCATGTCTTCAATGTCTCTGTTTTCCCATCAATTGTTTCGCGCTTTCAGGCACCCGTCCTCCTCTTCCCTCGTCGTTCCCATCCTCATCGGGAGATTCCCCCCCAGCCATCTTATCCGTCTTTCAGGAGATAGCACCGGAGGCACCAGCTGAATCTTGTCAGCTGGCCGAGGCTCCGCGGACTTCTGCGTTGCTGATGTGGCGTTTGCTGCTGTTGCTGCTGCTGTTTTTGTTGCTGCCGCCCCCCTTCCCGGCTTCCTTATCGTTCTCTTATCCTCCTCATCTTATTCTTCCTCATCCGTCGATTGGCAGATTCTCGCCCTTGCCACCATTACCATGTGTCATGGCCTCTACTCGCTGCCTTCCGTCTTTCATGCCGTTCAGTCCTGTGGCCGCTCGGCGCAAGCCACGAGTCTTGTGGGAGATGTTTCTCTTCAGGATCACCGACTGCGGGTGGAGTACCGTCATTACAGCCTGATAGCAGAATTCTGTGAGTCGTTAGCCCGTGGCTATCTTCGACGGCCTTGTAGTCGTTGGTTGGCCCGTGTTCAGTTCCAGACTTGTCGTCGCGTCGTGGCATTATCGACGACCAAGTCGATTTGGCTCGTAGTCCGTAGCTTATGGCGGTCCCCATCGCGACCCTCCTCGATGGCCACAAACTAATCGGTGGCATATGTTGCCCTGCCTCGGCGGCCACATATTTGATGGTGTGCATGGCCCTTCTCATGGCCCTTCTTTACTCCCCGCGTGTCTTTCCAGCGGCCACCGCGGATTCGTTCGCTCGTCACTTGTGGCCCATCCGTGGCCCGCCTCTGCGACCAGGCCACGCGGGTTTGCTGCGCCATGTAGCCCCACGCCGCAGCGTCGCTGCACTTCATGGCTGCATTATGCCCTTCTTCGACAGCCACAGGCAAATTTCAGTGGCTCCCGTAGACATTCATGGCCCCCTGGTGACCTTCCTCGGCGTCCACGTGGCGCGTGCCCCCTCGTGGCTTTTCCCATCGTCGCCGCAAGTTCGTTGGCTCGTGGCAGGGCCCGTGGCCCCTCCGCGGCCATCCTCGATGGCCACAGAAAGATTGAATGGATCCGGTTACCAGTGGACTCAGCCAGTGACGTGACGTGGCCTCCCTGGTGGTTGCTCCTCGCCGATCGACGGATGCAGTGGTCCGTGGTCTACCCCTCCGCGGAGTTCCTCGACGGCCACGGACAGAGTCGGTTCTTTGTTACGGAGCTCGTCTTCACCTAATGGTCACACGCGGCGATCGCAAATGGACTGACTGACTGATTGACTGACCGATCCCCGCACAGCCCCTTCGCAGCCCTGCGGAGGATGAGGAGGAGAATGGATGATGGATGAGAAGGGGGAGGAGGAGGGGGAGGAGAAGGGGGAGGAGGAGGAGGAGGAGGAGGAGAACCGTTCTGGTTCCTAAGCCTGCGGGCGAGGGGCGGGCGGGAATTTCACATACGTACTTCAGAGCGGCTCGTGTGTGGGGGGGGGGGGGCCATCCATGTTGGCGACGGTGGCGTGAAGCCGTCGGCGCTGATGGCGAAGCCTCTGCTGATCTTCCGCTCGATGGGCACGGTCTTCGAGGTCTACTCGGCCACGCTGGCCGCTCAGCTTTTGGACAAGGTCGTCAGGAGCGTGTGCGCGGAGGCCAAGTTCGACGTCGGAGAAGTGGACGGTGGTGAAGGCTCAGTGGCCGGTTCCATGGGCTGCGAGGCCATGAGCTCGGGCAACGGCGAGGTGTGGCAGGTCATGAAATTCGAGGCCGGGGGGGGACGCGGACGGCACCCGCACACGGGGGGGTTCCGAGGTCGGGCCCATGGGCTGCGATGCCACGAGTTCGGACGCCAGCGAGCTGCGGAAGGCCGTGAGCTTCGACTCGGAGGGCGGCGGCGCCCCTCCCGAGGACGCGGACGGCACCGAGCAGGACGGCTGCGAGCTCCAGCCCCTGCCGGAGGTGGGCGACCACGACGGCGAGGAGCGGAAGCTCGTGTGGGCTTCGATGCGGGGAGCGGCGAGGCCGGGCTGGTCACCCCAGGAGGTGTCGTCGGGGAGCCGTCGGCAGAAGCGACGTTGCTGGCCAGGTGTAAATCGACCGCGCACGCGCTCTTACATCGAGAACGATTTGTCAGAGCCCCGAGTCATCAGGGGTAACTCGGGTCAGGGATAACTCGGGTTCGTTTTTCGGGAATCCAAGCCCGAGTTACCCCGGACCCGAGTTACCCCGGATAACTCGGGCGCCCAAATTTAGAAGAAAAGATCCGTGGGTGGAAACCATGGCGGAGGTGGTGCGCGCACCATGGCGACAAGGCTTTTTGGTGAGTCTGGGAGTGAGGCGAAGACGCGTCCTCGTGAAGAGAATTTCTGGCTCTTGATAAGAAGCCAGTTTTTCCCTTCCATTGACCGTTCTGTTTTGTTGTTTTAAGTGGTCGGTTCTCAATAAGAACTTTATGTTCTTTCACACGCAGCCGTTGTTACGTTGGCTGACGCGTTGGGGTCTCGCGGGGAAGAGCATGGCCATCCCAAGGGAGCACACGAAGTAAACGGATCGAAAGGTCTTCGAGGGGATGTATGTATATATATGTATATACATATATATATATATATCCGTGTGCGCCGTCGGTTTCCTTTCGGTCAGTTGCCCACGCCATTGGCGGAGCGGCGGAGCGGCGGGGAGGCCACCGATAACGGCAACCCTCTCCCCCTGAGGGAACCTGGGGAGGATGATGGGGCACTGAGCAGCACGGCGGCGCGGGGTGGAAGTTCGTGGGCTTCGATGCGGCCTGCTGCGAGGATGTTGCTGGAGGCGATGGTCGGGGCGCTGAGGCCGTTCCTCGGAGGGCGTGCCGGGCCGACGACATCGACGGCGACGCGCGCATTGTCAAGGGCGCGAACATCGGCCACGCTCGGGGGATATGCCTTGCTGGTGGCGCCGATCGGAGCGACTTCCTGTGCGAGGGCTCGACGGCCGCGGCGACGGCCAACGCGGAACCCAGACAGAGCGCCAAGGGCAAGAAGAAGAACCCAAACTCGACGCCGTGGACTCCTTCGTCAGGCTCCTGGATGAGTTCGACGGCGGCGTCGGCGCCTACACAGCCGAGCAGGCGGAGAAGAGGCCGCGCGGCCTGAGCAACGTGCAGGGCGGCCCCGTGGCGGAGCTGGCGGGGCCGGCCGTCAACGCCGACGCGCGGCCCATCGCCGAGGCGCTAGCGGCGACCGTGTGCGACGGGCGCTTCTCGTTGGACGATCTGCTCGAGAACGCGAGCGAGGGGAGGGAGGAGGTGGAGGATGAGGAGGAGGAGGAGGAGGAGGACGGAGGAAGAGGAGGAGGAGGAGGACGGAGGAGGAGGAGGAGGAGGAGGAGGAGGGAGAGGGGGGAGGACCGAGGAGGAGGAGGACATGGAGGTTGACAAAAGAGCGGCCCGCCTCGTGTTCTGTCTGCGTCGGCAGCCCGTGGCACATCGTCGTGGGCCCGACGTCCACCGGTTCGGTTGCGGTGCCCGCGGCCCTCCGGGGCCCCCCCTCGGTTTTGGTTGCGCGCGGCCTCTTTTAGACCGCAGCGCCAGCGACCGGTCGGCGTGGTCGGTGCAGGCGGGCGCCGCTGGCCATTCCTAAGAGCCCCGAGTCATCAGGGGTAACTCGGGTCAGGGATAACTCGGGTTCGTTTTTCGGGAATCCAAACCCGAGTTACCCCGGACCCGAGTTACCCCGGATAACTCGGGCGCCCAGAGCCCCACATCATCAGGGGTAACTCGGGTCAGGGCTAACTCGGGTTCCTTTTTCGGGAATCCAAACCCGAGTTACCCCGGACCCGAGTTACCCCGGATAACTCGGGCGCCCAAATTCCTAACGGGTCACAGACCATGGGGGAAGGGAGAGCGCGGCCTCCGAGAGGGATGGGCCATCGCGTTCGGTGATGTGCCCGCGGCCTTTCGTTGTCCCTCCCGTATGTGGTTGCGCAAGAGCTCGCCAGTGCAGTTTCCCGAGGCGGGGATTTGTCCATCACCGCCGCCTACGGGGTCGACCTTCTTCGGCAAGCGGCGGATGCAGATTTATTTAAACGCTTCGCTCATTCCGCCGGCCCTGGAACGCTATTTGGGGCCTCTTGGGGCCCTCTTGGGGGCCTCTTGGGGGCTTCTTGGGAGCGTCTTGGGGCTGCTTGGCGGCGTCTTGGGCTCCCCTGGGGCCTTTTGGGGGGCTCTTGGGGGCCCCTTGGGGCGGGAGGGGGGGTAGTCGATTGCAGCCACCCCCTCGGAGGCCACGATCCTCGTGAGGGGTGGCGAAAAATAGCCTCCCTCCTGGGGATCGCCCGGGACCCGGCCGGGGATCGGCCGGGTTTTTTTTCGTCCAGGGCCCCCCAGGGGCCGCCCCGCGCGCGCGAACTAGAAATATTGTTAATTAGTTACCCGAGATCTTAGCACGCCTCTGGCCCGTTGGGCTGGCGAATTCCACGACACCCCTCAAGGCCCAAGTATAGCCGTATCCGCTACATGCCGAGGTCACCGAAAGTCAATTCCCAAGTCGATAATGATGGACAACTCTCCGTCTTGCACATTTTGCGGGCCTTGGGGTGGACAGCACGGGCTGCATAACATGCGCTGCAAACAAGGACTTTTGCTTAGCGCGCCGCCAGGTCTGGCCCGCCACGCTTCGGCACGACACGCGAACCACGTCCCAGTCCCCAGGCGTCAACGTTCCGAGTTTTTCACAGCCTCCCGTCCCACGAAGCAGGGCAACACGCCATCAGCCTGCAAGGCATGTCGCGTCGCAGGGGACGCCGCCGCGACACGCAAAGCAAAAGTTCCTGATCGTCCGCTCGGCCCAGATTGTAGGTCGGTTTTCGAAAACGTGGATCGGACGCGGTTGCTTGCGGTGTGGTTCATACATCTCTTTGGGCGCGCTAGCAACATTTCGATTCGGTGGACCTTGGCCGCTGAGGGCCCCGCCGCAGCTTGCCGCCCGGGTGAAAGCTCGTCAACCAATGGCCCTTCCTGGCTACCTTCCTAGCTCTTCGCGGCTTCCCCCGAAGGCCCGACGCGGACGACGGCAGCTAACCTATTCGATGTCCGTTGGTCTTTCGTGGCTTTCTTCGACAGCAATGGGCGTTGTGACGCGGAGGGAGTCTAGAATCGGTGGCCCCTTGGCCAGCATGGCCATCGACGGCAGTCCTGACGGGTTCAGTGGTTTGTTGCTTTTGGTCTCGCGTGGCAGTTACATTCTGCTGGTTTGCCGTGGCGATTGCAATGGAGTTGGTTCTCTGTGGCTCTGTGGCCCGTTGCGTTCCGGGCTTCGTGGCGTTTTCGTATCCCCGATGATACTTGTGACGTCCCGATCATGCGTCAAACACCTTCTCTCCAAACCCGTCGCCGCGAAGGCCAGTGACGCCGACGATGGCCAAGCGGAACAGGAGGCCACGGAGGACTTCGTCCCTCTGTTTTTATCTGCATGTTCGGTTTGGGAGGACGGTGCGGGCTCGGACGCAGTTGCGGTGTTCTACGCTGGCTTTCTGTGGAGGGTCATAGAAACACGCAATTGGTTCACAAGGTTTGCCGCGCGTTGGAACCGCTCAGAACTCGCCCTTCAGCCGCCTCCTCCTCCTCCTGCTCTTCCACCCTCCTTCCCCCCTGTCTCAGGTCTGCATGTCGTCTTAGCGCTGTTCACACCCCCGGCAGTGATTCCATCATGGGATTGTTTCGGGGACCCTTGTGTCATGAGTCCTGAGTCCCCCCGTTTCCTTCCCCCTCCTCTTCCCCATCCTGTGGTCCTGTGGTCGCTCGCCTGCCCGCTCCGGTGCACCTTGGGAAAGGAGGGAAATGAAGATGTGTGGCCCCATCGTACTTCGTCACGATTTTCCTATCCACCTCTGTTTCGGTGTGTGTTGCCAATCTTCGATGATGATGATGGTGATGATGGTGATGATGATTCTGTTGATGATGATGACGATATTGATGATGACGTTGTTTAAGATGATGTCGATGGTGATAATGATGTTGATGTTGGTGGTGATGATGATGATGATATTGTTGTTGGTGATGGTGATGGTGATTATGAGTAGGATGATGATGATGATGATAGTGATGATGTTGATGGTGTATGGTGATGGTGATGATCATGAAGATGATGATGTTGCCGATGATGATAATGGTGATGGTGATGGTGATGATGATGGTGATGGTGATGGTGATGCTGCTGTCTATGATGATGATGGTGGTGATGGTGATGATGATGATAATGATGATGATGGTTGTGATGATGATGGTGACGACGATGACGATGCTGATGTGGATGTTTGTGCTGGTGCTGGTGGTGATGATGTTGATGCCGTTGCTGCTACTGGTGCTGGTGTTGATGTTGATGATGATGCTGATGTTGATGCTGACGAGTATATGAAAATGGTGATGACGATGATACTGATGATTCGATGATGACGTTTATGATGATAATGAAGAGGAATGGCCCCGTGGCACTTCACCACGGTTTTCCTGCCAACCTCTCTTTTTTCTTTTTACTGCGCATGGCCAGTCCTCCACATCCTCCAATTTTCCCCCCCGCCACTTTTGGGAAGGGCAGTGGGGGGAGGAGGATGGAGGAGGACGAGGAGGAAGAGAGAGGAGGAGTGTCAATGGCACAGGTCCCGTGCCAATGCACTTTCACATACCATGATGTGTTAGTGCAGTAACGAAACGCAGTGTGATCGTTGATGCTTATATGTGCGTGTGCTGTCGCACCCCTGTGCTTGCGCCGGCGTTGAACTTGATCAGTATACCGAGGGGCCTCCGAATCAATCAAAACTGCGAGCGAATCTCTGATTCATCATATGTTCCCATTTCATATGGTTATGGTTCCCTACTTCGCGTGGGAGAACCTCGGTGGTTCCGTTGGAGTGCTACCGGCATTGGTAGCGGAGCAAGTTGCTCCAGATCCGCAGCAGAAAGACCAGGGTGCTTCGCTCGTGAGTGCATCGTTCCCAAGCAGAAGCGATGAGGCCTTACGGCCCCGAGTCTCCTCGGCCCGCGGGGCCTCCTGGCCCGCGACGCTCTCGCGGCGGCGGCGGCGGAGCCCGTGGCCAGCAGCAGCAGCCTGCTGCGCCTGACGATGGCGAAGCAGATCAAACCGGAGGAGGAGCTCAGTGATCCGATGGCGTTCGGTTCGACGAGGGCGACCCGGACAGCGACCTCCGGGAGGATTGGCCGCGCGCAGGTTTGGCAAAATGTTGCCTTGACGCGACAGGCCTGCGGCGCGACACGTACCGCAATTTCAGACGGAGAGTGACGGCGTTCCAGCGATTATGCCAGAGGCGAGAAGGCCTAGTGGTGAGTGAAGGCGCCTAACTCTCCCTGTAGGAGTTGCAGGGCGCCGCGCGGGACGCGCGCGAGAGTATCAGTTTCGAGTGGATGGGCGCCGCAGAAGCATTCGATTAGATTTTCGGCAAGGTGGACGTGCTGTTCAGATATATACATGAGGTGGAGTTGCCGGGCACGTGCGACGCGTTCTTCGGAGGGTTCGCTAGACTCTAGGCAACCGAAGGAGACATTGAGCGCGCGCGCTGCGACGCGGAAAAGAACTGGCGAAGTTCGGAGAGCCAGGACTAGACCTACCAGGCCGCTTGGCGGGCTGGCACATGATGGCGAGCCGTGTGCCCAAAAAACGCCCCCCTAGAAACCCCGATGGGTTGGGGGAGCAGCGCGGGGAGCGCTGCTCGCCGGGTAGGCTCGCGCCCGCGGGCGAGCGAGCGACGCGCCCGTAGCTCGCCGCGCCCCGCGGGAGCGCGCGGGCGCAGCGACGCCCCGCGCCCTGCCCCGACCAAAGGAGCGGCGAAGGATGAGGGAAAAAAGGAAACGCCGCCACTGCGGCCCGACGACTCGCGCGCCCAGCGGCGCTGCGCGTCAGACGCGGGGTCACATTCCCCTTCTCGCCGCGGGGGGAAACACGGAAGTAGTGAGCACGAACAAGACGAGGAGCACGAAGTCCAGGAAGACCTGAGGCGAGCCCCCAACCAAAGCTCACCCCCCAACCTGACCCAGCCCGCCACGCCACGGGCGCCGCGGCGCACCGTGGCGCCCGGCGGGGCGGCAGGGGAAAGGGTTCCCAGTTCCGCGGTATGTGACAGCGAACAAAATTGCGTCGTGTTCTCGCCCTCAGAAGACGCCACCCTAGAAATCCCGATGGGTTTGGGGGGAACGCGGGGAGCGCTGCTCGCCGGGTAGGCTCGCGCCCGCGGGCGAGCGAGCGACGCGCCCGTGGCTCGCCGCGCCCCGCGGGGGCGCGCGGGCGCAGCGACGCCCGAGGCCCTTGCTGCGCCGGCTCGCGAATAAAAACCCAGCGCCGCTCTCGCCGAAGGCGCGACCAGTTTTTGCAGCAACCTCAGTCCTTGTCTTCGTCGCTGGACGAATCGCAGCCACGCGCTTCCCTCGCGGCGCCGCCCTCCAGCTCTTCTTGGTCCAAGTATGGCAGGAAGGCGGCGGACCGCCAGTCTCTGGCGCGAAGGGCTTCTGCCCGCCGCGAGCGCCGCGCCGCCGCGCCCCGCGCGCGGCCCCGACGGATGTCGCGAGTGCGATAGGCCTCGCGCAGCGGCACCCCGAGCTCTTGCAGGGCCGCCCTCAACGCCGACAAGACAAAGTCCGGGCGGACACTCGCGAAAGGCAGCTGGGACGCGCTGTCGGCGCAGAACTTTCCCCGCGCGCACGGGGCGCGTTGATTTACAGCGCGCGCGCCAACGCGTCCGCGCCATCGTGGGCGGCGTTGCGCGATTCTTGCGCCAGAGCAAGCAAGCAAAATCGAGCCCTTTCGCAAGCGGAGGCAGCTTTTCGGTTCTTCCGCCCGCGGCGCATCGCCTTCGCGAGCCGCGTGCGTTGCGGGTGCTTTTGACGGCGAGCGCAACAATCATATGCGCGCCGTCAAGAACAACATGTGCAGCTCGCGCCCCTGATGGTGGGCGTTCGAGATGCTTCGACTATTTCGTCAGGAGCGCCTCTCGAATGAACATCTCGGGCCTGGCCAGCCAAGCGTTTCGCGCTTGCGCCGCGCGAGCGGCGCGCTCAACTGCTGGGTCGGCGGGGCGCGCGACAGGGCGCAGACTAGCTTGATGCGCGACATATAATTGTCGAGCGTTCACCTGCAGCGAAAGCTCGCGCCCCGCTGCGCAAGGCCCTCGGGCGACGGCGGAATTACATCCCCCGCGTCGCGGCAGAGCGCGGACGCGGCGAAGGCCGCCCAGCAGCGAAAACCGTTCACCACGCTGGGCCTCGTCTCTGGGCAGCTCCCCAGAATCGTGGCAACCCTGGCCGAATGTGACCATTCGCTGAAGCTGCGCCGCGCGAGTCCCCGTCGCAGGGCCTCGATTTCGCGGCGGGGGCCCGCGCGCGGCTCGACGGCGCACTGGCGCACTATGCTGGCGGCGAGCGCAAGGTCCCGCGCGGCGCAGCACTCCGCCGCGAGCTCAACGCATTGGGCAGCGCGCCGCCCGGCGGGGCGACTGCGGCAATGGCGCGGTCGCCGATGCACGTCGGGCGCGCGCGGAGGTGCGCTCCTCGCGCCGCGCGCGGCAGCAGATGGTTTCTTGGCTTCATGAATTATCGCTGTCAGACCTTCGCGGAGGGCGTCGGGGCTGACGCCCCGTTTCCCCGTTCAGCGGCGGGCGCGGGCTCGAACCGCTCGACGCGCGCGAGTTGCGAATCCCCAGGCTGCGTTGCGTCGCGCCGCTTCAGCAGCTTGATCAATGCAAAAGTTATCACGTGCGAAAGCTCTGGCACGACACCGCGAACCCCATGGGGCAGCGCCATGGCATTTGTCCGGATGAGCGCCCCTTGCCTGCCGCGCTAGGGCCGCGCGCCGACGCGCATGGCGAAATGGCCAAGTGCCACGGGGCAATCAAAAACGCAACTACGGTTTTCGGCTTTTGGCAACGAGGCGCGCGGGCCCCCTCCGGGCGCGCGGGGGGCTTGGCTCGCCGCGGGGCAACGGCCCATTCGCCTGCGTCGTTTCTCGCCGCCTCCGGCGCGCAGCGGCGCTCGCGTGGCGCGATGGGATTTTTTCGGCGCGCTCTCGCCGGCAGAGCGCGGGCTAGGAACGTCTCTGGGGCGGAGAATTCCGCGGCGCGCAATCGCGGCATCTCGAAGTCCGCCCCGAGCACGCGCAACAGCTCGCACTCTTCTCGCGACGGAAGGTCGGCAATATTCTCCGCCGACGGACCCCTCGCAGACCACGGCGATCACCTGGTGCGCGCAATGGGAAACCACATCGCGTGAATGATGCGCGAATGGTCCCAGGCAGAGGCGCGATCGCTCCGCGCTGCTCCCCCTGCGCCCACACTGTCAGACCAGATCACAGCTCGGCGCTCCGCCAGCAGCCCGCTGAAGGTAGCTACACCCAGCGTTATTGCGAGCAGCTCTAGCGCCATGATCTGAAAATCTTCGCGCG